TTCCGTTCTTAGAAATCAACGGCACAATGACAAGGCAATTATATATGAACGTTTTCTTAAGCGAGGAAGTCGCATGTGTCATTCACAACGTGCGCTTACAGACTAGACATTGATCCACAAAAGATTGAAGTTGAAGTTGAAGTTGAAATTTTATTTCACCACAACGATACACCGTGATTTACACAAACAAGAAACAATTGTGGCATGGAAAGTAGGAAAAAAGCTGCGCTATAGCAGCTTGACTAGCCCCACCTCCCATTGAATACCTGTGTACAAGTTTTCTTCCACAAGACTTGACAATGAAAGAAAGAAAAAAAAGCTATGGTGCGTTTAACGGTCACTTATGCATTACGCCGTCAAGCCGTTTGCACCACTGGTCCGGGATGACGGGGGCCCATAAGCGGTCCTCTCCGTTAGCGCTCGTGCTCATCACATGCCACACACAGGAGCAGCCGACGTGCAGTTGTTTCCCCTCAGTGGCTACGACCGAGCGTCCGAACAGTGGCGGGGTGCGTCGTCCGGGCTCACCCGCACTGGAGAAAGAGAGGGGCAGGCTGTAATTCAGCACTAAACAGCTGTTGGCATGACAGTTTTCCCCGCGGCCGTGAATGGTGGTGTGCCGTACGCTTGTGCACGGCCCCGTTGTAGCGACTGCCGCCAACACCGCGTCGGTCCGTGCGTGGCATTCGGCTCTCCCCTTTCTGTCACAGTCCCCGGCACTTTGGAGAAGCCGTGAAAAATTCCGCTGTTCGTCTCTATACTGCACACGAGGTAGTAAACGTGTGTCTGTGCGCGTTTTCGGTTAAACGAGAAGGAAAAGGGAGCGTTTAGCTTCGCGGCGCGCTCAAGCCGCGATGGATCGGGGAGCGCGAAAACGGAGGGTGTCGGTCCGGAAAACGGAGTGTAGAGCTGAGCGCGGGGGAGGGATGGAAGCTGCCGGAGCGGCGGCCTCTTTTCAGGCCCCGTGTGACATGCCGCCTCAGCGGGACACGACAGCGAAGCGCTCCTCTTGCCGCGGCCACATGGCGGCGCCAGCGGCGCATGCAAAGGCGGCGACGACAGCTTTTGCCTCCAGTGTCCAAACGCCGGCGGGGGACCGATGCGCGGCGCTTTGGGGTCCGCCGCTCCGCTATACGCCGCTGCTCTGCGGAGCTGTGCCCCTGCGGTGGCGCTTTCTGTGCCCGTCACGGCGGGATGCGACACCCCACTCTCTTTATACGCGGAACTCGCTTTCGCTGCTCTTTGCCTTTCGCTCCGCGCTCGTTTTGGGGACATACATGACCAATAGGTCGTTGTCGTCATACTAATGCGCTGTTGTCGTCTTCGGCGGTTGCGCAGCCAGGACGCGGTACACGTCCATGTCATGTCGAGTTGCGGTTCACGGACCGAACGTAACGTGATTAGCGCCGCTCGCTATGAGCATGCGAAGAAATAGCGCGAAAAAACAAGATATACTTGTGTTGTTGTTATCATTCGTAATGTAACAGCACGCACTTTTCTAAAGAGGGCGTGGGGCTTGTAAATCTGCAATCCGCATGGTCCGTTGATAGATATTTGGGGTTTAACGTCCCAATACCACCATATGATTATGAGAGACCCTGTAGTGGAGGACTCTGGAAATTCCGCATGCTTCGTAACAAGCATATTGCCGATGGTTACCGGCTCCGCCTAAGAGTGCATCGACCCAAAGTTTATCAAAATATTCCACAGACAAATTCCCGCGCCCTATCACCATTACTTGCCAATGAACCGTTCTCAAGTGGAACAGTTATGGAAAACAAACATTAGCTGTACAGACAAACAAAAAGAAAAGCATGCAAAAAACGTGCATGCAATCTGTCTGTCTGAACGTGGCCCAATAAATTGTGCACGTTCATATTCGCTACACTATATAGTGAAATTTATTGTAGATAAGTAGTTTTATATAAAAGAACACATTGTATGACTTTCGCAGGTTCACTAGCCTTGCGTTTAAAATGGACCTAACCGCAGCTGAGTCTCTTTCCGTTGAAGTCTATGAAAACGATCGGCGGGCACTGCAACCTGTGCATTGGATTGGTCCAGGATACTTTACACTTTGCACCGCGCATAATGATGTGACCAACACTGGGCTGCTTGTTGAGTGTTCTGCCAAAGCTCCGGTAGTGCGCATGACAAAGGTGTTGGCAGATAACGTCAGAACAGGGGACTTCGTGTGTGAACTAGTTGCTTTGCCGAAACGATCGCGGATGCCCCCCCCCCTCCCCCTCCACATTTTTGTAACATGTTAAGAAGATATTTAAAATGTAGTGCACGTTAAAGCTTTGTTGTGGAGTGCATCAAGCAACTTGGTCTCTTTGCCCTCTCTTATTGCTGACGTGGGGCGAACGCCACTCGGCGAACTGCACCGTTCTTCAGCGTCATGAATTTGACTGTTGTCGCCATAGCAGGGAGAACCTGCTTACTGCTCCGCTCAAATGAATGCTCGCACGTTGCGTTAGTGATTCCGACTTTCCTCTGTTCTTAATTTTTATGTTTTTTTTTGCCGGCTTAGTTTCGAATCGCATGGTGCTTCTCCACAAAAATTTCGTTACTGTGGTGCAGCCAACTTTTGAGTTCGCTCTCGTAAAAAAAATGTTGCGCTAAGTATACATCTTTTATGCTACTAAACCCAACTCCAACCGCTATTTGTCAAGTGGCACAACATGTCTGAAAGCATAGATTCTTTAACTACGTGTGTGGATGTGTAGCGTGGACTTGCGTCACCTTTAACAAGCTCTCAAAAATTGACTGCGAGGAAAAGTTCTACGATTGTGAGAGTTACGCCCAAGTGAGAGGAGCTGCTGACTTATTTCCTGACTGATAATAATACATAATTCAATTTATATTCCTAGGAGATAATGCTACATATCTCAATTAAAAAAAAACTAAAGGTTTGGGCGAGCTGGTACTGATTCATATTATTAGTTGCGCGTAAAAGACACAGAACGTACGATGCGCATATGCCCTAAAATCACATTATAGTAGAAACTGGTGCAGTCATATGGCCGTTTTTTTATTTTTTCATCGTGTGTGAGTCTAACAGGATGTTTCATAAGCTTAGCTCTTTTGTTACCGTGCCTATTCGTTGAAAACGATCACCGGAGGTCGACGCTTTGGATCGTCGACTTTGGCACGTTCAATTTGTTTCTCGTACACCCTGCACTTTCTACTCAACTTTCCACTCAGCTTTCAGAATAAGTTTGAATCTGCCTGTTTTTGCTGCACAACGATTTTTGAGAGGCCTTTCTTTGAAGCAATGTGCGTGTGTTGTTTAGAAAACGCACTTGGTTGGCGGACTTGACCGTTCCTCGTGGTTATGCTACAGTAACATCAAAGTTCTGTTTTGAAAAAACCTTTGCAAGGCAAATATCAAATCAAGGAAACAGCTTCGCAATCTGACAGTGTTGAGCAGTAATCGTTGCCAGAAATTTATGTCATTCATTCAATAGAAAGCTCTTGCTAGGAGCCAGAGAAAACTTAATCTAAAAAAATTGTTCCCGAAGATTCGCCGCATGTATAAAAATGTGGCGGTGCCTTCTCAGCCAGTTTCCAGCAGCTTTGGTTTCGACTGTATCGTTGTATATATCAGGGCTGCATCTAGTGTCACTAGTCGCTCCTATATAGGGGGCGTCACGCTCGCATGGTGGTGCACCTGCGCTGCGAAAAAAAAAGAACAAATACGTGCCTCTCGAAACTGTCTTGCAACCACACCTGAATTAAGTAAGGACGAGCTTAGAGTCCAAAGTTGACAGCACCTCAGCTTCAAGTTTTGTGCACGACGATGATACTTTGCGTCAGCCTGAGATATTTTCACTCGTTCATTGGTTTGTTTTGTTTACGGCGTCAAGTTGTTTCCACCGCCGGAAGTGTGTAGCTGCCGACTTTTGTGCACTATCTAATAGCTATACTCTGGTAACGGGCGCAGTGCACACTTCACTGGGCGCGGTGTGCTGGTGCCGGCTGCAGAACTCCTCACGAGAAGAAGATCACTGGAGCACATCTTGGCCCCGACAACGAAACAGCGCGAACCGTTATAGAACTTTGCGCTCGTTTCTTTTTCAATTTTTAATTCGATGTGCCAAAGTGCATAGCAGTTTGCATGGATGCATATATCGGAACGCCAACCTATGCGGTGTAGGTGGCTCACGGAAAGTGGCGACACTAGACGAAATAACGAAGTTCGGTGGACATCTCGTTTATTCATAGATTGTCCAAATCGCGGGCATCCATCTATAGTGGAACGCCTGCAGGCTATTATCGCAGAAAAATTATTGAGAAACGCGCACGAGTTCACTCGTGTCTCACGAAAAACTAGGGATGCTTCACCGCGTGGCACGAGGAACAAAGCAGCACCCCGGTTCAGACGTTTTCTGTCTGTGTCAATAGAAACACTTGGTACAACATTTATTATTTTTTGTACTGTTGTTGGGTTATTTATCATCAATATATATACTAGGAATTTGTTTGTTTTGAATATTTTAAATTTATTGTGTTTTTTATGATACTGTTTACCCGCTGGAAACTAAAAGTTATACACTTTTCACATTTTTATCAATTCCAAGATATTTTTGAAGCTTTACAGCATATATCATTAGAAAGAACTGTCAGTTGTGCGAAATTCGGTACGCTGCAATGCGTGCTGAAGTGATTTTCAAACTAGCAAGAACTCTCTTCCTGAAACATATAAAAAATAGCTATTTTCGCGAGGTAACGAAATAGTTAGACGTGCTTCAAACAAGCATTCTGCTGCGGAAAGTACTCGCGGGATGAGGTCATCTCTTTACAGTTGTCCTATTCGCGTCCTGCCCTCTTTCTTTTTCGTTAGCATAGACCTGTCCTTCGGTGTAGTCTATAGGACGAAATAAATCGAACCTTGCGAAAGCAACGTTTGTGGTATATACTGAGTTTTGTGTTCAGATTTCATTGCGAGGGTAAACGGTGTCTGCAGAAAGGGCTCACGTGGGCGTTCGTGCTTGCAGGAGCGGCCGGGCGGCACGCCCCTGGCCATGCTGGCGGCTCAGTGCAACAAGCTGGCCAGTAAGAGCCCTCCTCCGCTGGCGGACGCGGCTGTGGGCAAGGGCTTTCACCCCTGGAAGAAGGCCGCGACGCAAGGAAACAGCTCCTCGACGCCTCCGCCGCAGCTTCAAACCTCGTCGGCGTCCGTACTCGGACAGCAGCACCCGAGGCTGGCGCACTCGGGCTCCTCGCCTTACCAGCACAACCACCAGAGGACGCCAGGTATGCGCCAACTATGATGGCACGATTCACTTACGACGACGTCCGGTCGGAACGAGTGAACTGCTCGTTGATAACTCAACGCCCTTACCGACGAGTTCGGAGGCGACCATAACGTTGTGAGCAAAGCCCTTTCAACAACTATGGCTTTGGTCATGGGTCGGTTGAATGCGAGTTTCATTGCGTGGATTTTTTTTAACCACATGCTGGAGAATTTTCTGTGGATGCATAACTAATGTTAACCCACATTATTTGAACACAAAACAAAATGAGCTATCATTTAGCCGGCCTAAGCGAACAGTTAAACAACCATAGCTAACAATCACAGGTAAATGCAACACGAGACTAAATTCGGTGGTCACAGGCTATATAGGTTGACTATTGTCAGAAATTATTGTCGATAGTATCACGTGGCTCGCGTCATAACTTGTAACTGGACGATGCCCAGACACATGGTTGTAAAGGGTCTCATGAACAAAGTGGAGTGATGATGATTTGACATTGATTAAGACAATGCTGGTGTCATGACAGTGGATAACCGACGTTAACCCGCATTATTTCAACAGCAAACAAAATGAGCTAACATTTTGCCGGCCTAAGCGAATAGCTAACCAATCATAGCTAACAATCACAGGCAAATGCAGCATGAGAATAAATTCGGTAGTTAGTTAGGTTTACTATTGTCAGATAATATTGTCGACACTATCACGTGGTTCGTCATGTCTCTGGGAGGATGCCCAGAGACATGGTTCTAAAGGGTCTCATGAACTGTGATGATGTAGCAACCTCACAATTGTCGGAGACGTCTAACCACGTGCGCTACACTTACGCTCGGCAGTGTCGAGTGGCTCCGTGACGACGGCGACCACAACGCCGTGCAGCTACCCGTCCGAGTCTCTCTTCTACCCGGGTGTCTCCGCGGCTGCCACGACCGGAGTGCCCTCAGCCGGTGCGGCCAGCGACTCCCTCCTTGCCAAGGTGGAACCCCTGGGCCGCATGTATTCGCACGCGTACTGCGACAACTGGCCCTACGCGGCGGCGGCTGCGCACATCAAGCCCGAGGCGGCCAACGCCTTCAACTCGTCCCCCTGGTGGGAGGTGGGCGCGGGTGGCTCGTGGCTGGACGCCACCGGCCACTCGCAGCTGCCCAACGCGTACGCGGCCGCGGCCGCCGCCAGCTCGGACTACGGTCTCGGGTCGGGCTTGGCCGGCAGCCCCCTGCTCGGCTCCTCCCCGCTGCTGCAGGACACGTACAAGTCGATGCTTCCTGGCCAGGGTGCCCCCGGCGTGGCATCGCCGTTCTCGCTGGCGCAGCCGGCGCTGCCGCAGGTCGCCGCCTCGTCTCCGCGGTCACAGCGGAGGTGAGTGTCGCGCTTGTGCGTTACTTCGCCGCTACTATTACTGTCTTGTCTGTCGTGCTTTTGTTTAAAACAGTTAAGCCTACCTGTCGGCCGAGTGGGCTAGTGTACAATTAAACAAGCACAAATGAAAGAAGAGCACAAAAAAAAAAGAGAATGAGGCTGGACGGACGCTAGTCTGTGTGATCCATGGTTCATGTGCACGTGATTATTTCACTGATCTTCGGCTAAAATTTATTCATACATTGTCTCTGCAAGGCTTTGCATCTAGAGTAATTAAGACTGTCTACTTTTCACGTGGTCTTGCCGCATACGATTGTTCACTTGAACTGCAATTTCTGTTCACGGCTTCTCATGGTCCCTTAAATTGCTGCTCTTAGTTCTCATTGCAAAATTTGGCATAAGACACAAGCCAGCGCTAAACTTTAACAGTGCCGATTTCTGATTCATTGTTGATTATTCTGCAACAGTCGGTGAAAGTGTACTCTGAGGTATTCGAAATTAAAATGAAAAATATTACCTTTATGTACGAAATAGCAGGACACAGCGCACGAGTGCTGCCGCAGATTAATGTTTTATTGGCAAGGATTCGGCTGAACAAGCCTTAATTTAGCAAGCTCATCAGGCATCTCGCTCTGCAATTCTTGTTAAACAAACCAAATCAGCATTAACCAAATCACCACCTTGAGGGTATTTGAAATAAAAAATAACAAGTAAATAAATAAATTGTGTGAGTATCTCTAAGCGTATTGGCGCCCGCCAACACGGTATGCACGCATCCTTGTTCCAACCACCCCTGTGACGACGCAGCATGGCTCGCAGGTACACGGGCCGGGCGACCTGCGACTGCCCCAACTGCCAAGAGGCTGAGCGGCTCGGACCCGCCGGGGCCCACCTGCGCAAGAAGAACATCCACTCGTGCCACATCCCGGGCTGCGGCAAGGTGTACGGCAAGACGTCGCACCTCAAGGCGCACCTGCGCTGGCACACAGGCGAGCGACCTTTCGTCTGCAACTGGCTCTTCTGCGGCAAGCGGTTCACGCGGTCCGACGAGCTGCAGCGCCACCTGCGCACGCACACGGGCGAGAAGCGCTTCGCCTGCCCCGTCTGCAACAAGCGCTTCATGCGCTCCGACCACCTCAGCAAGCACGTCAAGACGCACAACGGCGGCGGATCGTCGGGCGACAAGAAGGGCTCCTCCTCGGGATCCTGCTCGGACTCGGACAACTCGCAGAGCGAGGCGCCCTCACATCCGATGGGAGGCCTGCCGCCCTCACAGCTGGGCAGCTCGGGCAGCCTGTCTCAGGGCCTCGCCCTGGGCCCGCCGCCCCCGCCGCACGTGCCCCTCGGAGTCCTGGGCGCGCACGTCGCTCCACATCCGGCCGACGCCCACCGACACAAGTAGAGGAGACGCACGTGCTGCGAGACGGCGTCGCTGCTGCTGTTTCACTCACTGATGCCAAACGGTCGTTTCGATGGCCACCCGTCTTCTTACAACGCAGATTAGTTAGTGAGGATGCAAGGGGCCGCCTCCATGGAAGGCCCGTAAGATTAGTCAAGGACACGTTTGCTTTCAGAATTACGCTGTGTACCAGCCACTTCTTACAGAGTGTGCCATATGGAATGAGAATCGCACAAAATAAAAAAAAAACGATTTGTGAAAATGACGTTCCTGAAAGAGCGTTTCTAAGTTTCTCTTCAGGACCTCGCAAGTCTCCTTGCGGCCGAGGTTCTTCTACGACTGAATCTCGAGTGAAACAGCAGCGACGAGCTCGTCTCGTGCGCGGCGTGGTGTCCTCGCCACCGACATACAACAGCCGGTGTAGTGAGTGTACGGTCGGCGGCAGCGGCGTTGTCAGCGCGTACTGGTGCGCCCTGGGGTGCGTCGGCGCTTGTACGAAGGGCCTGTCGGTGGCTGCAGCACTCCGGAGAACCATCCGTGCCGTGCTCTGGAGAGGGAGGGCGAAGGGCCGACGGACCTGTGCGACGGTGCAGCGGGCGTCCTAAGACGTCCCGCGGATGTTGTGCGGTGCGCTGTGTGCGGGCAGCTTTGCGTCGGTACGCTGGTGGCTTGTACTCTGCGCTTCGGCTGTCTCAGAACTAAGAACTGAAGGACTTAAGACGGGGCATGGATCAAGTGGGCAGTTTGTAACCCTGGTAACGCCCATGTAAGTGCTAATATGGGACATGGATAGACTTCCGATTAATACTGTCTGTAATTTAGCGTTCGTAATATTTGGGTGGATCATGAAAGGAAAACAAAAGTATGATATGCTTGTGGATGTTCAATAAACGCTTGCAGGAACATTCATTTTATAAAAATTTTCAAGCGTATGTTAGTTTGTTTAGCCGTTGATATTTTAAACCGGATTAGCTTTCTGGCTGCGTTCATTATTAAATTGTTCGGTCTTAAAATTGAGGAGTGGCTTCTCTGTGTATTTGGCCTATTACGACCGTAGAATGTGGACCCCTGTTCACAGGCTTAAGCGTTGATCTCGAGATGCAGTCCTCGAACCTTAAGCGCTCGAACTGAACATCCATAAAAAAGTTGAAAGCTCCGTAAAGCATGTCAGCTGTTCCCACTTACGTTGCACGTGACGGTTAAAAATCCGAAGAAAACACTCTAGAGAAGTCTATTTCATGATCAATAGTGTTTTGCAGTTGAGCCCCGAGAAAAAAAGAAAACAGTTTTCACAGTTGACTTGTGATCACGTTTCATGACAAACTACAGCTTCAAAGTGCGCTCCAAGTCACCACGCGGGTGACACTGTCACCAAACCGCGAATGAGAACAACGGGACATAGCAGAAGAAAAAAAAAGCATCGTTCGCCAAACGTCACCTTCCTGTCAAGCCGACTCCGTGTGTGCCTCGAGACATTCGAACTGCTGGCAACACTGTGCATCTGCGTGATGGAAACTACTATACTTCGTGGTGTGTGATTGTGTGTGTGACTGCGCGCGAAATAGGTGTCATTTTTTTTTATTTAGGCGACGGTACGCGTCAGCGTTCATCCCTTTTAATAATGTGTGCGCGCGAAAATCGCTCAGCTATAGGAGGTCTTAAATCGCGCGAATTTCACGCGCGGGGACCCACAACTTTTCTTGTGCTACTAGTAAAAAAAAATGATATTGTCGTCGAGCTTTATATTGTACTACAGTGCGAGTCTTTCTTCGATGAAGAGACTATGAGACTAAAAGAGTTCTGCCACGGGTTTTCAGTGATCTAGGACGTTGTACATAGTGACTCAACAAAGGAAAGAACTCTGTGCAATTGTACATTTTTTTTTCGCCCACTTTTCTAAACGATTGTCTCTCGAAGTGTTCTCGTGTGTGTGTCATGCGTGTGCATTATGAACGTTACTATAAGGGAAAAAATTGAAGTCCAGGAGATTTGAACTACGACTAACGTGATGTTTCTATTGAGATGGAGCGTAATTTCTGGAGTGCTTTAAAAAAATGATTTTCAGCAGAGACTAGTGCCGTCGCTGACCTGATTATTTGGTGAAGCACGCTGGTTCGTGGGAAGTAGGGCTGAAGTCAAGAGATGGCAAAGTGTCATGAAGCGATAAAAAATCTTTTTCCTATCTATTTTTACGGACTATTTTAAGTGAACATATTTCGATTGGTATTGCAGTCGCTCCGCTTATGAAGCTATAACAATAAATTTCGCGAACGAAGTCTGCTATTCTGAATGCGATCGTTCAAAGTAAAATGGCATAGCACTAAAACATTGGTTCTATCTGATCAGTACTCCAACTTGGACTATGAGCTAACTATTCGGTTTCAGTATCGTACATATCTGCTAATGCATGAATGCAGACTATTGAATTTAAATGAGTGACGTCAAGCTTCTTGCGGCTTGTAAGTAGGAAGACATGCATACCGCTTGGGTAATAGTCGGGTCACGTTCTCATTGTGTTGAGCTTAGTGTTGCATTGACACGCAATACTACACTGCAGAGCGCAATATAACCATGTATAAACGTTCACCAACTAGTCCGGCTCATTGCTGCACTAGTAAATGATTTGTACTTTCCCCCGAGCAGTTTCAGGTTGCGAGTGTGCTGAGCTTCTTCGCGGCGCGCAAAGTCTGTGAATGTCTGCGTCGCAACTTCGAAGAAAGGGAATTTTATTCACGTACGATACACAGAATTGTTTTGATGCCGCCATTTATAAATGTAACCACGTAACAATTTTACGCACGCTAACTAAACGTTTATAAATTTGAACTTGAAGCAAAGACGTCTCGCAAGTGATGTAAGTTGGAACGGAGTTGTGAATTATCATGAATGTTTTCGTTTGAAAAAAAAAAGGAAATGTCTGACATGAAACTTCAGCTCTGACATGAAACTTCAGCTCTAAACTGCTTCCGTCGTTACAAAAACTTTTGCTTTGTGACAAAACTTGCAAAATGCCTGTGCCCGGTTAGTTACTTGTGCAAGCATTGACATGACCCTGGAAAGTGGTGCCATCACAACCGCGAAAAAAAAAGAAAATGTAACAAATCTGTAATTTCCTTGACCGTGCGTGTTGTTGTCGTGACTCCTTAAACCGATTGGTTCTGAGCATAATTTTTTTTTCTCGCATGTGCTGAGCTTTTAAGGAGCTTAGAGACGCGTTTTGTTTTTTGTCATTTTCTTGTTTCCAGTATTTTTGAAAGTGTAATTCCTTACGGTGACGAGTCCACTGCTATTGACAAAAGAAATAAAAAAGAAAGGTAAATGCTAACAAGCATGTTCCTACAGAATGTTGAGTCTTGTGGTCATTCTGCTGGTTTCTTTCGTTCCTTCCGCATGAAGCTTGTATTCCTTGCATTATATATATATATATATATATATATATATATATATATATATATATATATATATATATATATATATATATATATATATGTCCAATCACTTTGGTGATGAAAATAGTGCGAGTACTGTGCAATAAAGCATAGTTGACGCGTCAGTTTACTACATGCGTGGTACTATGCAGACTGATAGCACTTGGGCGTTGTTTATTCGGGCGGCAGCTGTTCTTCCACTCGGTGTACCTAAAGAGGAGTTCAGCACAAGTGGTCTGAAAGTATGCTTTTGTTAATTAGTATTGTATAGGATTGGGATCTATGCATCCCCCAAACTGCGATGTGAACATGAGACGCGTGAAACCACCTGGTTGTTTTAAGGTTCACAAGCAAGCCGGCCTCTATAGTATTTTACCTCCATTAAAAAGCGACCGCCGTGGTCGGCATTCGACGGTCAGCAGTTGAGCATAAAACCGTCGACCATTGCGGCGGGTCTCTTGTGTTTGAAATAACCTTGTTCAAGTCACCCAACTGACACAGTATGGCGTTAGCGACCATAGGGTAATGTGACCGGAATAGTAAAGACGTCTTACGATGAGTATCTGAGTTTTCGAGCAGCCACATAAACGAATTATTGCCATATCGGAGTGAGTTTGTCGCAGGGAAGTTTAATTATACTAACGGATGTCATAGGGGAAGAATAATAAAAAAAAACACATTTTTACCATAATCAGAGCAACATTTTCTCCCTCAACGAATTCGTTAGATGAAAATTAAGGATTTACGCATGTGCCGGTTGTTGAAATCATTTCCAACTACTTGGATTCATCATTATCATTACTATAGCGTGGAGTGAAACAAGAACGAAAGCCCACGCAGAAAAAGGAGAGACGGGAGATTACCTTACCTTTGCTTGGTTCATTGCAAGAAAGAGGCTAGTCTCGATACAAAGAGCCGTTTTGTTCACGTCAGGAATCAACAGATGGCGTCTATCACAAAAGCTTTTTGTATGCAAAAACAGTTTGTTAACCTTGCTAATATTATGCCTTTTACAGCATTAGTTTACCGTGCGCAACATCCGAAACGTGTACTTCACCTGAGAGCCAACATGCTTTCCTTCGAGTAGGGTTACCATATACGCTACCCTTTATATACAGTAACTCTACCTTTGTGTTGCGTCGCGCTATCTAGTGACGAGACAATGAGCTGCAATAACCGATATTAGTCGACGCTTCACACAAGTCAAGGCGTGAGACAAGTCTACTTCTATGATCGTTATGGGCACACGGTAAATCAATATTACCCCCCCCCCCCCCCACACACACACACTTTTTTTTTCACTATTTGGGAAGTGTGTCTACTTGCGCACATTGTTAATATTGCTGTACTTCTTAAAATGTCAGTTTTGTGGCTTAATAACCGTTTTTCTGAAAGCAAGTAGTAAGTAAACACTATTCCCAAGACAAGCCCCTAGTATGAACTCTTTGCTTATGGCCCATTAAAAAAAAAGCTTTTTGTGCCAAAAACCTGCCAATCTCGTTTCGAGTTAGTTGTACATAAGACATTGTGGGGCAACTAATGAGACTGTCTGAAAATGCGGTCCACCTTTTAATT